TAGCTGATTACTGACACTTGTTACAGTTTCTCAGGCTTGTAGCTGACCACTGACACTTGTTACTGTTTATCAGGCTTGTTCAAGGTTGTTCCGGAGGAGATGCCATACAACACAGTCGAGGAGATGGTTAGTCTGAGGCCTGTTGGCCTGGACTCCTGCCTTCCCTTCACTTTCACCAGCCGCTCCAAGATGACCTTTGATAATTTCACTGTTGGGGCCGGGACAGCTTTGACAGTGCTCTCCATTGAGCGGCATACGGGTCAGGAGGATCAGGTGCGCTGCCAGGTTCAAGGACAACAGGAGGCCTCTGCAGAAGTGCATATCCCACTTTCTTCCCACGGGGAGTTCATTGAGTGTGAGAGCGTGGAGCGCTTCACTCTGCAGGAGATCATGTCCTCGCCATGCCTGCGCAGTCGAAAGTTCCGCTTTGTCAACACCACCAAGTGTGAAAAAACCCTTGTTCTCACTCCCATATACCAGGTCCACGCCATCATGCACTGTGAGAATAATCTATTTTTTAATTTGAAAAGAATGAAAATGATCTGAATCTTACATACATAATGGTTATTCTTTTTGCATACCGTAAAACTACAATTAAAATCAGGGTCCCAGTTAGACGCAGGTCCCCTTTATGAGCTTGGTGTGGCTACACTTTTATGACAAATTAATGAAGGTCTCAGATAGATGCCTGGTCTGGATTTTATAGAAATTCTCTGGATGTATAAAACCTCTTAAAATCCACCGGGTCACCTACTGAGCTGCTTAGATCACCTACACAAATATAAATGTTTAAACTTTTGTCAATACAGACATGCTACACAACATTAGATCAGTTAGATTCACCATCCAATTGTTCAGTTCATTTTACAGAAATTATTTGTCACTAATATGTTATTTGACCTAATAGTAAAGTATCATACTGGTTTAAATAAACAATTTGATAGTATTTCCCATCTTTGAAAAAAAGTTTTGTGGCAAAGAAATTAAAGGCCTGTCCCATGAAGACGCCTGTTCCAAATATGAGCACGTTGACTTCAGTGATTAAAACAAATAAAAGCCCAGGTCATTAATTGAAGTTATACGGTATTTGCACACATTGTTTTTTTGTTGATCAGAAATGATTAACATATCTGTAAATTACATTGTAATTAGTGTGTAAATTAGAGCATTTTATGTACTAATACTGCAGTTAAGTATTTGCACTTAACAGAAGTTTCCTTTTACGCAATTCATAACAAAAGTTATCTCAGGAAACTTTTCAAATAGAGCAGATCTAGACCGTACTCCTTATAAAGTGATTTACAGAGACCCAACAGTTCCCACCATGAGCATATCTCACAACATTTGAAAGGCAAATATTCTACATTTACCACTCCATTTATCTCCCAGTTTAGAGTTAGTACTTGTGTGCTGATTGAGATTTTGCACACAAAAGCAATGTAACACTTAAGGACACAAAATTTCAAGTAAATAAGTTCAAGTTAATGGAACTAAGAAACTAACTGCTAATGATCCATTAGTTAATGAATAATGCATAATGACATTTTATAGAGTAGCTAATGATTTGTACGAATGAATAACGAATCAGGGACAACTTGATGATTGATGATCGTTAATAAGTAGTTCCCTAATAATAATGGAAGAATATGTAGTAGATAGTAGAGTTTTGTTGTCCGTAGTATGTTGTAGTATGATGCAAATTGGTAAATACTAAATAGTTCCTTGTTATTTTATAATCATTATTATGCTTATTTACTCTTCTAAAGTAAAGTGGTGATCATACTGAGGGGTTACTGAGTGCTGAATCATTACTTCGTCATTATTTTCTGAATGTGAGTGATTAAAATTACACCCTTGGAAATACTCCTATAAATACCCTGTCATGGTAGTCCATAGCAACCTTAAACAAAATGATAAGCTTATTCTACATAAACTATGAAAACTATTACTACTAAAAAAAACGATTTAATTCAATTTATAATGTATTACTTTCTTCATTCTTTTTTATTATTATTACTTAGTCAAATACAGACACACAAAGATAATTGCTGGGTAATATATACATTGATATTGCCAGGTGTCAAGTCTAGTTTAGGTGACAAGATGATACAACATAGTGTCTTGTTTGGGTGCAAAAAAAAAAGAAAAGCTGAGACATCTACAGGCTAAACAAGCAGTTATACCTTTCACACATATAAGTGTAAGTTAGTTTTCATAAAAGTGTGCACTGCGGCCCGTCATAACTACACTACACTACTGTACTCAGTAACCCCTCAGTATAATGCAACTACATTACTTAATGATGTTACTAGTTTTGTGCTGTTCACCGGCTGGTTCAGATGAAGAAAGTTGTCAGTATGATTGTTTCACAGATATTCATGAACTAATCATTACCTAATGATTCATTAATATAAGATCACCCAGTCTGTTCTCTAGTAACTAATGATTATCTACTATATAGTCCACCATTAGGAATTATTAGGGAACTGCTTATTAACAATCATCACTTACCAAGTTATGCCTGATTCGGTCCTTACTCGTTTCTCAATAAGGTAATCATTAACTAATCATTATCTTCTCCATAAAAGAGTCACTCATTTACTAATTAGCAGTTAGTTCCTCATTCATTCATTGTTTGTTCCCTGGTAACTACTCAAAATTGTGTGTCCCTTATTGTAAAGTGTTAATGATTAAATTACCCAACAGTAAATCACCTTGACCAACATCAATGCATCAGTAAAAATATATATAATACAATATAATATACTGGCCAGTGTAATATAAAACTTCTGTATAATTCTGCATAATGAGTACTTTTACTTACATTTAGATGATGATAATATTGCTGTACTTAAAATAAAGGATTTTGAATATAGGAGTATTTTTGTATTGCTACTTTTATTAGTTGTACTTGCATCTCACAAAGGTTCTGAATACTTCTTCCATCACTGATAAAGCATGCTGTAGTCTGGTTTTAGTCAATTTAATTTCATCATCTGCCTCTACTACATTTTCTCACATAATTTCTCTCATTCTTTGTACAGTGAGGAAGAATATATTGAAGTTTCCCTCCAGCTTAGAGGTGGATGTGGTCGATGTCACTGAGCTGTGTAAGGATGTGAATTTTGTGACCCCGCTCAGTCTGACAGAGGTCCTTTCCAAGCCAGAGGACTCTTTCCCTGCAGTAGTGGAGATACTGGAAGGCCCAGAGACCCGCTCTCTATTCAAGTGCAGTTGGCTGCCACAAATTAAGCAGAACAGCCACGTGGTTTTCCACAAGGTAGGAACCTCAGCCATGGTTTTGTTATCCAGCTTGAAGGGCCGAAAGACACAGCAGTACTTCCTCGTATCTCAGCAATACGGTGGACGATTTCGGAGGCGGCCAAGAGAGTTTAACTCAGTGTACGAGCTGTATGTTGCTTCAATTCAGGCACCAGGTCTGAAGTTCGGTGTGACAAGGAACTGTGACGAAGTCGAGGAGGAGGGCCTGCCTGCCCTCAGTGTGGGGGAACAGCTGGAGATTGTTCGCTGCGAAAGGATGGAGTTGCCTTGTGGAAGTAGCACGGGACAGAAGCAGTCCGTCGAGGCCCTTTTGTGTCAGCGTCTCCAAGAGGCGGATGATGGAGATGAGGACGATGATGATGAAGAGGAGCGGGAGGATGAGAAAGAGGAGATCTTTCTGCCTCTGTACATGCAGGGTCACTTTGTGGAGGTGCTCACTGATAACAAGAAGTACAAACTCAGGGACCTGGGCAAGGAGTTTAACCTGCCGCTGGATGTTAAAGTCGTGAGCCGTGATACTGAACTCGAGACTGATCCACTAGCCGGGTTTGCATGTCTCAGAATAGAGGGGGCTATGTTAGAGCCCACCATCCAGGCAAGCTTTCCAAACAAGCCAGACCACTGTTTTGAGATCCCAACCCAGTGGCTCTCTATGTCTGTCTCTTTTACCAGAGACCCCCTGCCATGGCCCAGCGGTGAGCCTCTTAAATTGCATGTGGACAGGGTTACTGAGGTGACAGACACGTTCTTTTATGAATATCGCAAACAGGGGAACTCAGATGCGGCTCCTCCACCTCGACCACCAAAGCGAAATCTGTCGTCTATAAAGTCCTGCAAAAAAGCATCAAAATCCACGAAGAAATCATCCAAGGGAGACAAGTCCAAACATCGACCAGACAAAAGCACCCCAACCAAAGAGTTAGCTAATTTGACTTTAAATACCAAAAAGAGGCCCCCAGCTCCCCCACCTCCAGTAAGTATAACTTTTCTCATATTTTTTGCACATATTACATTTACAGAAATGTATTATCTACTGTGGTTCCATTTTAACACATCTTGTGTTGCTAACATATGTTGCATTTTCTCTCAATGTGACTTTCAGGAAATCTCATACTTGTTAGAAACAGCTAACTTTGCATGCAAGATGTTTCCTCTTTGCATTGTGGTAAATATTTCATCTGTATAATAAAACTTCCTCTTATTGTGCAGGCTATCTTAGATGATCAGCCTCCACCGATCGCACCCCGAAAGCACTCAGCAGCTGAAGTGACAACAGGGAAGGCTCTGCCCAACACCTATGTGGAAAGGGAGGACCCTAAGAAAAAAGGTGGGTTTTTTTTTTTTTGAGACTTTATTACACAGATTTCAGACATACTGCCAACGTCCCATGAAAAGACCAAAACCAACAATACTTTACAACTCCTCCTCATTTTTTAAGGCTATTAACTTAAAAAGTGACTCAAGCAGGTGCAAATATTTGTTTGGGACTATTTTCAGCTGCTGATTAATACACATTTGTTGCTTAAGTAACTATTTAGGGCATCAGGAGAGTGTATGTGCGATTAACTCAAAGTAACATGTTGGCCACTGACTAAATCACAAATATATATATAAATATAATACATTCATTGTTGGTTCCTGTTTTTTCATTGGATTTATTTATAGTATTAAAAATTCTAAATACAGAATATTACTAATAGATTAATCATTCCCATCTTTTAACCCAGTGCTGGTGTGTGAAGTCGAAGCAGATGTGGACAGTGACCACGACTATGAAACTGTGGACGACAATTTGGTGACAATGATGAAGGCAGCCCAAGAGAATGTCATGTTTTACTAAAATGTTCTACTGCAACAGCGATATATTATATGTGGGAAGTGGGAGCTGAATTCAGTAGTGACAAAGGAAAAAAGTTTTAAACTCTTATCTTTAATAATGTTATGCCAATGTACCAAGGCATGGTCCTATATTGTGAGACTTTACAGTCAGATCAAGTAACCTGTCCATGCAATCCTAAATATTGTGTTGAAATGCATACTTGGCAACAGCAAGGGGGTGACATCAGTTTTGTGGTCACTTCAATAAATAGCAAATGTTTGACCACACACATATTTAATGTTGAGACAGCTTCCTCCACTGGATTACAAGAGATATATATCTTTCTGCCTCTCATGTGGTCATCGAAACACTTCTCTACACCTAGCCCACTGTATCTTTTTCAAAGCCGTTGGTGGCTGTAGCTATGCAACATATGTTACTCTCAAACTTTGAACAAATACTACTTGAAGTATTTACTGTTGTAGTATTTGTCGAAATATTATCGTACTTTTTGTACTTTTTGTTCAAACTTCTCAGCAAATAGTTGATCTAACATATATGGTAGTTTTGGGGGGGCTGTAGCTTGTAGTTTTGTATACAATACCATTATATTGTGCAATACTAAGCTGTTACTGTACATAGTCCACCCTGGAACAAAACAGCAAGGCTCTACAGTATAATACAGTCCTTATATGATGCAACAAACTACACCCTTAAAAATGACCAGAGTTAAATCAATATCTTGTTGTCTAAAAAAAAATACATATTTATAAGCTTCACAAATGTGATTGTACAGACATTTAATGCATGTCAAACTCCTACAGTATATATGCAAACTCTAAACAGAAAGGGCTCAAACCAGTCCTTGTCTGGAGGCAACAGTCCTAACCACAAACATGACAAAATGGCTGCTTCTCACATGCTAGCGCTAGAAGCTCTTATAGCTGTAACAGCAAACTATTGATCTGAGAGTACGTAAAGGTGCTACACATTGTATGTATTCCTGTTTTTTTGTTCTTGTTTTGCTTCATTGAAATAACTTGTTGGACACCTTTTAATTATATGGACTGGGAACATTCATAATAGACAATTTCCTTCTGTGTGCTATGTTCATTTATTTTACTGCTGAAACCAATGCGTATGTAATACAATTGCAAAACATACTGTAGATTAATTAGTCTGGAGGTGCATTTTATACTTTTTTTTTTTTTTTCATCTTTAAAAGATGTGGCTTCAGAATGCACTCATACCTATTTAATTCATTCTTATTTTAAAAGCTTTTTTACTATGTGAACCAGTGAGGCTATATAGACAGATTTATGCATCATGCCCAGTCAACTGAATGTGCCACAGCTGGACACAATCAAGTAAACATCTCAAGTGTGATTAAGATACAAGAGGTTAAATTCAGTTTGTGGTCTCACAGCTATGAATACACATGTAAATTTAGTATCTGTGCATGGGTGGGGGGTTAACTGTCTTATATGAAGGTTTAATGTGACAAAATGTGAAAAAGTGAAAGGGCTTGATTGATTTCTGAACCCACTGTGCAGACTATATCCATTAAGGACAATAAGAAGTTATATATAAAAAATGAGTAATATGTGTAAATTATGAAACAAAGACTTCTGGTAGATGACCCAACTGTATTTTGTATAATCTTTTAATTTTGGCATTAGTATGTTACATAGAAAAACTGAGTGCTTATGTTCCAAGTCTTTAAAATTACAAAATGCTTTACAATGGAGATGAGGAATTCAGAATAGTATATAACAGCTTCTTAAACAGCAAAACCCCCGGGACTTACAAATAGCAGAAGTAACTTGAGGAATACAGGAGGTGTAAAGGTCTCACTAAATATAAATCATGTTTTTTTTTTTTATCAACTAACAACCACCACAATACCTTAACAGAGGAGGGCTTATTTCACTCAGTTCTCTGGCATTAATGAGGTCAGAGGGATAGTGATTTACTTGATAGATTTCAGTTATAAAACCTATACTAATGACTTTTATCAGGTTAAATTCACATAAGTAAACCCACTAGTGCTAAGAAGGTGAAGGTGTCTATTCATCATTGTCTGTTGATTTGTAATGGTCTTCGTCGATGGTGGAAAAGATGTGACCTTCATTGCTTAGGAACTCCACTGCTTGCCTGTTAGAGCACAACGAGAAATATTAATAGTATTTTGAAGCACTTTCTATATGAACCTCGAGTATGCAAATAAAACTTCAACATATTAAAACAGTCTGACACCTCTGATTTCTGCCTTTGCCGAAGTAGCTTTTTGATACATTTACAATATGTCCATCAACGATTGTAAAACATTAGATGGTTTGTGGTAGATGCAACACCAATGCGACATAACATTTTTCAAGCCAGCTAGTGTAAATATTCTGTCTCTTCTTAAGCTGAAGTGACAGTCACTGAGCTACCACCACAAAGTCCCCAATCATATAATTAACACAATGTTCTACGATTGTATTACTGTAACTGACTATACTGTCCAAATTCATAAGATGGCCACATTGCAAAATTTTCTATGGCTGGTTATCCCCTTAAATTTAAACTTTTCTTACTTGATGACACCCAGGCTTATACCACTGAGTCTCTGCTTCAGGTCCTGAATGCTGATTCCCTGTGGGTCTGGGCAGCTTCTTATCAAACTCAGCACCTTGTGAGATGAGCAATGACATATTAAAAACATGCACACATTAACAAACTGCAAATACAGAAACATCCTCCAGCTTAAGCGGTGTATTCTAAATTTCTCATTATAATGTATCCTATCGACTCACCTGATTCTGGTTTGCGCTTAACCCATTGTTAACCATGTTGTTAGCGCCTGCATAACTCCCTCCCGTGCTTTCCATGACAGGCCGTGATGCGGGTGTGATGTTACTGCTCACTCCTCCTCCAGCACCAGAAACTGACTGAAAAAGAAACCAAAAAAATGGTTTTGATAAATTTCCAAGTAAAAACACAAAGTACATCCCCAAACACAAATACTTGTAACAAGAGTTCATTTGAAGTTCCTCTTTGACACTACGACAGTGTACGCAGAAGCCCGGTACGGTATAGTCTCCTCAGATTATAGTTGTTATCATTTTCAGAACGCGAGTGCTTTTAAGCAACACATGTGTTTTTGAAGCGATGGCGGTGATTATACTTACTGACAACTAACTTAAATGAGGCACCCTTTCACATATTTATGAGAGCTAACAGATACGGGACTTCCTTACTTTTGGGGTTTGAAACCAACAATAAAGGCTGCTGAGGTTTATACTGAAGAGTTCTCACCGTGCTTTGAGGTTTGCTGAGAGCCATGTGTGCTTGGACAACCTCCAGCATGTGTGAGGTGATTTCATTCATGTCCTCCAGCGGCCTGACGCCGAACGCCACGACAGACCTGTGGTTCTGACACAGGAAGAAAGAGACACACCGTCAGTCAGTATTCATGGCAGAATTCACAGAGTACTAGGAAACATCCTCCTTCGCAAACGGTGTTGCATGTATTCCAACAAACAAAACAAAAACCATGTTGGTCAATAGATCACAGCCTTCTAGAGTGGAACCAAGTAAAATTCCAATGGCACCAAAAAATATATGCTATAAATGTGAATAAAGCAGACAACTTTCAGAGTACAGCTGCAGATGAAACATGCTTATATTTACCAGCAGCTTAAATTTCACATGCTCTTGCAGCATCTTAAGGGATAATAAAGCTCCATTTGATTTGTTTCTGGGAACTGCAGAGACCATTTTAGGACAGTAAACTCACCTGAAAGGAGCGCAGATTGCCTGAAACTTTGACGTACGTTCCTGGAGGCAAGACAGAGCTGTCCACACTGGGGTCCTATAGAAACCAAAACAGCTGTGTCGCTAAAGAGCATGGTTTGTGTGGTTTACCAAAACATACGCTATGCTGCAGCATGCTACAGCTTCTGAAGAGTGATGTGGGGGAACACTTGTGGCAAAAAGTCTTGCATTACTGTCATAGCACCTTACATTGTATGTTACATTTGGGCTTACATTCTTAAGTCATGTTGCTATGACTGCTTATACTTGCTGAAGTTACTGTTACTTGGCACAATAAAGTCTCATATCAAAAAGAATTCAACATTTAAATGGTTAAAGAGCCTCAGCTGAACAGGAAACCACCAACAATGTGGCCTTCTCGGGAAAACGTGTCATTTATCGCATGTTTATATTTCACAGACAAATGGTTGTGCTTTTTCCTTGCATGAATTACTGAGAATAATACAAAAGCAGAAATGCAGGTTAAAAAGCACCCTCACTAACCTCAGTGTCAACCCACTGCTTCACATCCATGGGAGCACCTGTCATGTCATCGACCTTGTACTGGATGTTGGTCATGGATTTGTCAGTGCTCCTGATGATACCCACGATGGTGACCTATGATACAGAACAGGAATTCATCAAACTGGATTAAGGAAGTTAAAGGTCTATAGTCGTGTGTGAAAATATGGTGCAATGTGCTCTCTTTATTTAGTTGTTACATGTGGCAATAAACCTCTTTTCTTAAAAAAAACACAAAAAAAACAAACACGTGTTGATCAACAGTGGTTGTGTTTTTTTTTTTTTTTTTACCAATTCCCCCCTTTTTTGTCACAATACATAATGGCCAATATCCCAGCACTGTGGTCCTTGTCACTGTTCACTTTTGAGCAGGGAGGAAAGTACGCCTATTTTGACCTGACAAAAATCACACAGAACTAATAATAATAATAATAATAATAATAATAACTAGGGATGCTACTAAGATTTTGATTAATCGGATGGTTCTTGCTTTTTTTTAAATAGAAAATGATAGAAAATAGAGGAAAAAGGATGAAAACAAAAGATTATGTATTCAAATTGTTTGTTTTATCCAACTTGCAATACAGAACCCCCAACATACTCATGTTTAAGAAACTAGAACTTGGAAATGTTTGGCATTTTAGCTAGAGAGAATCAAATATTTTAGAGGAATTGCTGATTGTTTATTCTGTTGCCCTTCCCTTTTTCATACCATTGTAAAGAACTTTGTGGTTTGGACTGCTGGTTGGGCAAAACAGGCAACGTAAACAAGGGCTGCACAATTAATCAAAATATTATTGTGCAACATTCAAAACAGCATTATATTGAACTACTGCATTTCTGAAGAGATCCCCTTTGCTACAAATTTTGTTCTCCATATTTAAGAAAACATATTTGTTTGGTGCAAATCCCCCCAAAATTGCATCATAATGATTTTAATTGTTTTTTCAGTGAAAATTAAATTTATGACACACTGTCATATTGCAACATCTGTCAAACTAATCGCAATATCATGTTTTGACCATATTGCAGCCATAAAGTCATCAATTAGGGCACAGGGAAATTGTGATATTTTAATACTTTGTCATATTTCATATTCACGCCCCCCCTTTATAAGTCAACAAGTTTGATAACATCAAAGACACAACAGAGATCAGCTGGTAATTATAATAATCACTAGTTTCAGCCCTACTGTAAATGCACCAAAGACACTAATGACAGTTATTTTCATGCTCTGCCATCATACAGACTCTGCTTTGCTTCCGCTTACCTGGGCAACTTCCACATCTCCTACTCTGAAGGCCTCGTCTGCCTGGGAAGCAGACATCAGCTGCGAGACTGTGCATGGGATTATCTGTGTGGCACGGGTTCTCTGTAAAACACACAGACACTGGTTGACTGCTGTGCCTCACTCTTCAAATTGTCAGTCAGTGTTTCCATCAGTACACATACACAGTAAGTCTAGCACAAATACTAACCCCTTTCTTCTCTCCTCCCTGGGATGGGGCAGGAGATGCAAAGCCTCCTGGAGACTGAGTGTAACCTCCGACCATAGTCGACTCACCTGAAACACAAATGTTAGTTATATTTATATGTAAATAATATAGGTTATAGCTGAGAATTGGGAGCCGTTTATTATTATTTAAGACACTTAAACTGACGTTCACATCAGAGACACAACAACAACAAAGAGAAGTTTAGTAGCCCAGCTAACGTTAGCCGCAGCCGGAAAATGTCAACAAGCACGACCGGACCACTTTATGAACACAACCGTGTGGGCATCGAACCTACCCTGATTCCACATGTTGGCACCTTGTTATTGAGTTAATAAACTAACTGTTAAATGGTAAAAACGTTACAGCCACTATGGTGCGATGACAACAGTCACAAGTCGGGTAGCTCTGTGCTGGTGTGCCTTGTGCAGTCCCGCGCGCCAAACTCAATGTACAACGCATGCGCAAAGCAGAAGTCCCGCGAAACCGGCACGGTTTGTAAACAGGAAGTTATAGCCCTGACTCCGGCTTGTCAGGCAGTTGTTGCTGTATTGGTGTGTACAAACCCCGTATTGTCGGTTATATGGGCGACTCTAACTCTCAACCAATTGCCATAGTCATATCCTTAGTGTCTATTTATCCAAGAATTTGACTCGTATGCCTCGTTAGGGGCGCTACACACAGCGCTGAATAAATGAGTGCCTGACAGGAAAAACTCGGGGCAAAGAACTCCCGATGGGTCGCGTTGTGAGAGTGGTGCTTTGCTGCCTTAAAGTCCCGTCGGAAATATTGCGTATACTGACGATATACTACCTAATATCTACTCTCAAGTATTGCTCTGCTTCATTGACATCGTCACATTTCAACTGTAATGATTTATATTTGCTTCCTGTGTACCAATTTCAAATAAATAAATTCTCTACAGTTAATAGTCCGTGAATTGCAACCTGCGATGCGGGAAGTACGAGCATCACCCGAAGGCAGCATACCAAGACTTGTTCTGCCTTTTTTAGATTTAAATAAATATAATTTAGCCTACGATGTAACAACATGGAAACAACACACTGATTAAAGAACTGTAAAAGTAGATCTGACTTTATGTTTAAACTATATAAAATAGTATGTACGGATGGATTTTGCACTAAGTAGGCCTACCCAGGGTGCTGTAGCCTTTCTGATGCCTTTTTATGGCATTGTCAAATCTGTAGCCTATAAATAGCCTGCATATTGTCTAGTACACTGCTTCAATCTCTGAATCAAAAAAATCCACATAATACATAGGCCTATTGGATTTCTGCATTATAATCTGCCAGTTTACTGCTCTGGGCCTCTTGCCAAAAGCAGCCAAAAGCGGCCACTTCTCCTTTTATTAAAAATAAAATTTGAACTTCTTTATTATGTGTAGCCTATGTTAGTCTATCAGGCTGTAAAATCTCGTTCTATATTTGAAATGTGAGCAATAGGAACAGAGAAATGGAGCACCTTCCGGTCAAAGACTCGTAATGAATAGCTGTATCTTATCTTGCTTTGTCCTTTATAGACTTACCTCTCAAACCTGCACTTGACTTTTGACGGATGTTTGCTTTCCTCAAAGACTTCAGCATGTCCACAGTAAGGCTGTTCCTATCTTATCTGCTTTTCAAAGAGGTTCTTGCGCTGTCAGGTAAGTATCCAAAATACCACACTGTAATGAACAACATTAAAAAATCTTTCATAGTGCAGGGGCAACTTCATGCGCGTAATTACGCATCGCTTTTCTCCAGGGAACTTCTGGCACATCACGGATCAGCACTGGGACCCAACATATAACCCGAATAATAATCCTGAACTCGTGTGCGCATCAAGCGGTAAACGACCCGCAGCCAATGCAGGGAAATTTGGAGACTACGCTTGTGATTCGCCATGGGACCTTATCAACTCCTCTGTGTATGCCATGAAAGATATTCTACCAGACCCGGACTTCATCGTATGGACAGGGTGTGTGCTTTAGGCTAATTGTAAAAAAAAAAAAAAAAACAGGAATAAATATATGATTCCTGCTGGATTGGTGAGTCCCAAGTCCATATCCAGAGAGACCAGTGCTTCATGCTTCATAATCATTTGTTTTTTTACGAGAAATCTTGCACTAGGGCAAACCATGGAAGCATTGTCCCACTGAAAAATCATTGGCCTGGTCCTCCGTTGTACATTATTGTTCTACTCTAATTCAGTGGGGCCTCCAACTGTGGGGCTCAATACATCACCACTTTCCCTCAGTATTTAATCCTAAAACTATATATTGTTCTTATTTTCAGAGATGACACACCACATGTTCCCAATGAAGATCTGGGAGAAGTCGCAGTGCTCAACATTATAGGCAACCTTACCCACATCATAACACAGGTGTTTCCAGGTAAGTGTGAGGTCGACAGACATCATGTGTATTTAAAAGAAGAAAACATTGGCCATCAACATTATTGATTAATTCACATTAATGATGAAAGCTTTACATTTATTGCATTCCTTAGATACTAAAGTGTACTCTGCCCTGGGCAACCATGACTACCATCCTAAGAGCCAGCTTCCTGCAGCCCCAAACTACATCTATGACCAAGTAGCAGAAATATGGCAACACTGGTTAGATCCTGAGTCCAAAGGAACATTTAAAAAAGGTGGATGGAGCCTCCTGTAATATTTTGACGTTTATTTTAAAATATACATTTAAAAGAATGTTTAATTGTGTCATGCATTTTCTGCTTGTCTATTTGTCTAGGTGGATATTACACTGAAAAGCTGCTGAATCGAACAGGTTTCAGGATGCTGGTCCTCAACACTAATCTCTACTATGACCAGAACAAGGTGACCCAGGACATGGATGATCCAGCGGGCCAGTTTAGCTGGGCGGACAAGGTTCTTACAGAGGCCACCAACAACAAAGAAAAGGCAAAGCATCTTGTCTATCTGTGAGACTTCCATCCTCCGCTATCCTGCCTTCTCTTTATTTGCTGTTGTGTTTAAATTGCAGAATAGAGGGCAGTAATCAGAATCAGAGGGAAATTTGTTTGTTACAGTTGCTTAAGGTGCTCACACAATGTTAAAGAATAGAAATAATAATCATATTACAGTATGTAACACAATGACATCAGTGCATAATAAATACACTATTCCTCTTTTTAACCCTGGTTACCAGGGTAAACAGGAAGAATACTTTTAGGTTACATCCTTTTTATGTGTAATTACTTCATGGAAAACAGGTTAACTTTGACAACTTGACACTCAACATGACATAAATCCGAGAATGCCTTGCAAAAAAACAAACTGCTGTTTGCTAACTGTACGTGGGTTTTTCTACCAGGTGTACATCATTGGCCATGTTCCTCCAGGTTTCTTTGAGAAGAAGAGAAGTAAGCTGTGGTTCACACCTAAATTCAACAAGCAATACTTGGATTTAATTCAGAAGCATCATTCAGTCATACTTGGACAGTTCTTTGGTCATCATCATACTGATTGCTTCCGAATGTTCTACAACTCAGAGGGTAAGGTCAGACTGTTGTAATAGTACTGCTAATACTAATGCCTTTCTTTGTTAATGTCTTGACTGTGATGCACTACTATGGTCCTTCTGTTTCTACAGGATCTCCTCTCAGTGCAATGTTCCTCAGCCCAGGTGTCACACCGTGGAAAACAACACTTCCTGGAGTCAAAGACGGAGCCAACAACCCTGGGATCCGTGTCTTTGAATATGACACCCAAACACTCCTGGTAAAAGTAAGTCAAGGCCAGTCTGTATAATTTCTATTCAAATATGTTTAGAAGTCATCCACAGCCTATTTGTAACAGGATGTGCAACCCCCAAAAAAGCACTTAACACTTTTATTGTTCCGGTTTCTGTTTTTTTCACACTCAGGATGTGGTGACTTATTACCTCAATCTGACTCGAGCTAATGCGGCCCACGGACGCTGGGAGAAAGAGTATCGCCTCACAGAGAGCTTCAGAGTACCAGACGCCTCCCCAGCCTCCATGCACCAGGCTCTGGAGCGCATTGCTAGTGACAGCTGCTACCTACAGAAGTACTACGAGTTCAACTCCGTCAGCTACGACCTGACGGAGTGTAACAATGACTGCCGTGTTGACCACGTGTGCGCAGCCAGAGAGGTAGACTTTGAAAAGTATGAACGCTGTCTGCAAGGGGGGGCAGCTGCCATTTATGGCGTGTTGCCGCCAGTCCTCTTTGTGGCTTTAAGTCTGTTGTTGGCCAATTGGTAATGATTATCTATATCACAGATAATGTTTAAAATATATTATTATTACAAAACTGAAATTCAAGATCAAGAGTTTTGGGGTAATGTAAATGTTTGATTTAAATTACAATATTTAACAATCAGGTTTTAAGTTATATGACATCTATAATTTAACTGAGTCGTGCACTAAATGTACTAAATCAGAGAGAAAACAACCTTTGGCTTCAGCAATCTTTAGTGTGGCCTCTTTACCTTGATTTATTGGTACTGGCTGAATATTTCATTTCCAGTCATTACAAAAACTATGTGGTATTCATGTGGCTCAAGAGGTTAAAGTACACGCCACTCAACAGTAATGTATTGGATCAAATCCAGACTTTTGTAAAATATTACACTCCCCATCTAACTCTATCTATTTAATAAAACCAGAAATGGCAAAAACAGGTTTTTACTGGTTTAAAAAAAAAATTTAACAGCAAGAATCGATGCACTGTGAATATCAGTGTTATCGCAACAATAAATCAATTGATTAATATCAATTGCACCTACTCATGCCCATATAATGCAACATGTTACTAATATTACAGATAAAACTGCACTATCTGGGTTCTATAATGCTTCCTGTTATCCCATATCACGATATCAAGATTTAACAGGTTTTTAATTAGTCAGTAAACTCGTAACATGTGACATGAAAGATACTGGACTTTGAGCCGGCTTTGAAAACACATTTATTATGTTCTTGAGCTGTGCATGTGATTGACGCATCAACAATAAAGTGGCAACCTTGGGGTTACGCTTCAGTTCATAAACTTTGGTCAATACAGTGTAGTAGTTAGTCGATGAGTGCGTTCACATGATCAAGACCTGTTTAGCTGAAGTGAAAGGCTGCATGGCTGTATCCAGAGCTTTGCTGAAGTCTTGGAGGCCCACCTCTGTGCAGACAGGAGCTGTCAGCTTTCCCTGCCGGATGAGGTGGCACAGTTCATCCAGCATGACTCTAAATGCCGTTCCATCTAGGGAGAAAGTCTTATTAAATTCATATTAAAAGACTTATTTAGGTATCTTGATCTATGAAACTCCGTGCCAACTCACTGTTTGACTGATCTTTTTTCCACTGTGTGACCCAAAACCCCCGAACCTTCACATCCTTAAAAATGAGAGCACTCTGGAGAGAAAAAGTTTGTTAAGTCTACAGAGAGAAAAAGTGTCTCTGTGAAAAATG